CTTCTTCTCGCTCTTAGCAGGGCACTCTCTGACTAAATACCCTCTTTTCCCGCAGCCATAACATGTCATTGTTTGCGAAGGAAACTCAGCTTTCATTACCTGATCAACTTTCGGTTTGGTGTTGAGCTTTTCCGTTTCTTCGAAGCTCCTCAACATGCTCTTAAACTTCGCGAACGTTATCTCACTTGCACTTTGGGTCACATGTATCGAGAACGGTTTATATGAATCAGGCAGCCCCTTTAAGATCATAGCAATTATTAGCCCATCGCTTAACGTTTCTTTGGCGTTCTTAAGCGCTGTTATTGCTTTCTCGGCTCTTATTAAGTAATCTGTGACTGTCTCGTGAAGTGCTTTTTCAAGTGACGTTAGCTCAGTGTAGAGTGTGATGATTCTTGGTTTGCCTTGATTTGCATAATGGTCTCGGAGTATTTGTAAAGCCTTTCGGCCATCGTCGGTAGCATCCCTCATTACCAATGACAGACTGGTGTCGTCCAAACACTGTATAAGCTCGGCGTAGCATTCTTCGTTCTTTGTTGCGTCAGCCTCTTCTTCAGACGGCAGGATAGTATCCTTTAGTTTTAATAACCTCATGTGCGCGAGGAATTTCGCTTCCCACAGTTCGTAATTGCTTTCGTTTCCATCGAAAGTCAACCTTGACCAGCGTGATTCTCTGCTGGGCCCATAACCTGTAGAAGCCATGACTTTAGAACACCGTATTTGTAATGAAATCACTCTTTATTTTCACGTTTATTACAAATGTAGTTTTGTACAGTAAGTTGCTTTCACGAGGAAGTTCAACTAACAACACCACAATCCCATCATGCATTTGTCTCTCAGTATTACGTCATACTAATATTTGGATAACATACAGTTTTATATTGAACTCAACATTAGATACGCTGACCTCGTCAACCGATCGAAGCTGATTTCCATGCACGAGGGGCGCGTGCAAAAAATAAAAAAATGTTTCAATTTAGAAGTGCTATTAAGAGCTATTTACAAAAATGCTTATCTTTTAAAAGATGGAATATTTAAATTATTTCCATAATAATAACGTTGTTTAGACTATTTACTGGTAATCAATATATTTACTTGAACTACAGAACTGTGTAGAGATAACGAAATCTCTACTGCGAAGAACCGGTCGCGCGGAACTGAATTCGAATCGATTCGCAAACGGCGATCGCCAAATACCATGGCAATTTTTGTTAAAAATATCGATGCCTTTAGAGTTTAGATAGGGTTTTTTCGACAAGTAGGGTTTTTTCGACAACTGTTTTATAAATCATATTGTAATATATTTTCTAAATTGTATCACTGAAAAGCCCTTTTTAGGGGGTGGTACTTATTAAAGTTTATGAAGTTTATGAAGTTTATCCAAATAAAAGGAAATATAAGGTGAATTTTCCATTTTTTAAAAACTATATTGAGCCACCTTTAGACGCTAGACAGGATGCTGCAAGAAACTTTGATGGCCGGATTTCTTGAGTTGGGTGATGTACCTTCTATAGACAATGCCACGCCCATATATATCATATATGGGCATGGTATTGTTATTAATAAGTCGTTCCAAGACCTTTTCAAGATTTTTCCAGACTTATACCAATGCAGTTATTACGATGTCATTTTGGATGACTGAGTAATATTATGGCTTGTAATATTATCTTAATTGCGCGTTGGAAAATGGCTGGTGAAGAAGTAATGCTGAAGGGAAGGCGGTTGTGACCATAAAGTCTCGAATCCATACTGCCTGTTTTCGGAGTCTAGGAGCATCTAGTGAAATAGAATTTTATAAATGGCTTCTCACTAATCAGCTGACAAAAGACATAATTTTATTACTATTATCGTCTTATATGTTTAAGGATACTCACATTATTGTTATTGGAGTGAACTTAATTTGAAAACAAAACTGGATAAATGGGCATAAGCCCTGGGCGAGGATACTAATTCCGCCCGCCTATTTTTACCCGGAAAAATATAATATACCTACTTTATATGTACCTACTTTATATATTTTATAATATATAAAGTAGTATACCTACCAAAATAATATACCTATTTTATATATTTTATAAATTGATAGTTCTGTATTTAAAAGTGTTCAATATTCATCTATTTTTTGCAGGTTTGTAGAAAAAGTTTAAAAAACAATTATCGTATTGCCATGACTAACATGACGTGCAACGCGAGCCTGCGTTCAGTGTTGGCATAATTAAGAATAATACTTCATGTTGAACCAATGTTTGGAAAATGTAGGCGAGGGGTCGTTGCAGCATGTATTTGTAGTTATAATTAGATTTCAGGAATTTAAAGTCCAGGCAAATTGCATCCATCGGTTACACTTTTCTATATCTATTTTTGATCATGGAAATTAATTCATAGGCAAAACAATAATTTCTCAAATGTCCCCCCTCCCCCTATATACAAGGTTGATGTGTGCATGAGTTCACTACTTCCCTGCCAACGGCTTATGTTATAATCAACAATATGTCTGGGAGGGGGGAGGGAGACTATTTTGGCACTGGATATTAGCATCTTTAAAAACTGGTCTCCAACAATGCTAAATATATATGCTTTTTATAAGAAGTCTACCCATATTATTTCCATGATATATTGTACTTAAAATATGCATTACATATCATCAAAAACTTCAAAGGTAATACAATAAGCCGAACGCTAGTCACTAAACGATTGACGACGCTTGATCCGTCACGCACGACCAAGACTATTTCACTAAAAAATTACACTTAGCCGAAACAAAATGGGAGTACAAAGGTTTTCTACCAGAATCCATTACTTATAACTAGTTATAACTCGCGCACAAAACGATTAATGCAGGCATTAACGTACAACAAAACTTCAATCAGCAATGATTTCCAAAAGTTAGTTTGTTATTAAAAGATAACGTTGTCGCTAAAGGCTAATTGCACCTATAAGATTACCAATCTAAAGGAAGAGAAACTTATGCATCTATAGTGATTGACAAGTATCACAGAGTTAATTCTCAGACAAAAGATGCTGCCATGCAACTAGCAGTTTGCACACAGCTGAGCTAATCAAGAAAAAGAAGAAGCAATGTTACGTTTTATACATACACCTCTGAAAAAATCAAACAATCGATTAATTAAGTAATATAATTAAAAAATAGGTACGCTAAGCGTACATGTATCTGCTCATGGTGATTGCACTGTTGCCAAGGGCTTCGATCACTACTCAGTAGCTTGTAAAAATTTTAAGGGATTGATGTTTAACAGTTGACCAGTTAAATGAGGTTAGATTTATAGTATGTCAGATGAAAAAAAAAGATGGCTGATATATCTTCAACTTGCAGAAACTAATTCCGGCCATAACTTCACAAAGATCATATTCAGTTTTATGAACAGCATCGACTCAATTTCGGCCGAAAATAAGGAAGTTCATGTAGTTGGTGATTTCAACATTGACTTGCTTAATAAATCATCAAGTGATACAAAACGATTAGTTTGCTTAATGCAAAACCAAGGGTACGTTTAAAACAAATGCAAATGAACCCGACACGCATCACCGAAAACTCAAGTACTCTAATTGATCATCACTACAGTACACATCCTGAGCATATTCTTGATATATCATCTCCTACCTTCGGCCTCAGTGATCATAATCCCACCATCTTATTTCGTAAACTGAATCCAAAAATAAAAGCTAACAAAAATGGACATTTTACGATCACATACCGACCTTTAAAAAAAGTAAATATTAGCAAACTTATTTCTGATTTAAATGAAGTTCCATGGAGTGTTCTTGATACTTTTGAAAACGACCTGGATGAAATGTTGTCAACTTGGGTGAGTTTGGTTACAGACACGGTTGATCGACATGCTCCGCTGAAAACACTCAGGGTTAAATCTTTAAAAAAACCAACGTGGCTTAATGATGAAATCCTTTACTGCTATTGGCAAGCGCGACGAATTTAAGAAAAAAATATAAAAAAAGGCCAGATACAAAGGGATACCTTCAAGGCTGCCAGAAATAGAGTAGTCCGTCTTGTGGAGAAAGCAAAGAAAGATCACATTGTTAATGAAATAGACAACTTGCATGTTAGAATAATTTTCGATTTAGGCAAAAAAAAGTAAATTCCCGTAAAGAACTTACTAGAATTAGTAAAATTGCAAAATTTGGTTACGAAATGTTGTAAAATGCAGAAAATATAGCCTTGCGAAGTTTGCGTATTTTCAGTATGTTTGTATTACGTGCGGAAATTGTTACCATTTTTGAGCCGAAAATAGTAACAATTTCCGCACGTAATACAAATATACTGAAAATATGCAAACTTCGTAAGGCTATATTTTCTGTATTTTACAACATTTCGTAACGAAATTTTGCCAATTTACTAATTTCATTATGTTCTTTACTTAGATTAAAATTTAGTCTAACATGCAAGTTGTCCATTGAAAACAACAAATTTGATTCAAATGCTCTCTGGAAAACTCTAAAGAACATTTTCCTACTAAAGCAACAAAATCAGGCAAAGTGAAATCCTTGGAAAAAGATGGGACAATGTATGCTACCCCTGAAGAGATCTCTAACCTATTCAATGAGCATTTTGTCGCTGTTGCTAACAACATCATCGAAAGTAACAACTCGACTTATCCTGAATTTACCAAATTGGAATACTTCGTTAGGCTTCAAAAAGGCATTAACCCAAATAATTTAAGTATACCAACAGTAACAGAAAGTGAAGTTTTAGAATTGATTAGATCACTGCCATCGCATGTAGCAACTGGACTTGACGGTTTGAATTCTCATCTGTTGAAAATTATTGCGCCAGCAATTGCACACAATCTAACCAAAATATTCAACTGCAGTCTAATCAATGGCACGGTGCCAACTGAATTGAAATTATCCCGAGTTACACCAATTCACAAACAAGGAATCAAAGCCAATCCCGACAATTACAGGCCTATATCAGTTCTTTCTGTTCTGTCGAAGATACTTGAGAAACATATGTTTGTAAGCATCTTATGGCTTACTTCACAGAACATGGCTTACTACATAAGTACCAATCAGGATTTCGTACTAACCATTCTTGCGAAACTATTCTTCTCAAATTAACAGATGACTGGCTCGAAGCAATAGACAAAGGACTCTTTACGGGAGTAGATATGATCGACCTGCGCAAAGCTTTTGATGTAGTGGATCATGCATTGCTACTAAGGAAGCTAGAAATATATGGTCTTGATTTTAACACTCTGAAATGGTTTCAAAGTTATTTAGATGGAAGTTCTCAAAAGGTATGCATTGTTGGAATGTTATCAAAGCCGCTCTTTATCGAATCGGGTGTGCCTCAAGGAAGTATCTTGGGCCCTGCTTTATTTTTAATATTTATTAATGATTTACCTAATTAACACTTGCCAATAACATTGGTCTTTTTGCAGACGACTCCACTCTCTACGCTTCAGGTTCACCTTACCAGAAGTTGAGGAGAAACTTAAGCCTGATTTTATCGACATCTCAACATGGGTTAAAGATAACAAAATGAAACTGCATCAATCGAAAACTGAAAGTACAGTATAGCATTATTTCTAGTTGTCAGAAATTAGCTAACTCTAGGCCTCGAGTCAAGCCTTAATCTAACTTTTGATGGGGAACCAATAACCCATGCAGGTGTAATCTGAGCGTGTTTTGGGAGTGTATATCGATAACCATCTCACTTGGTCTACCCGTATTGAAAATTTACATCAGAAATTGCTTAAAAGAATAGCTGTCTTAGGGAGAGTGAGAAAATATGTTCCAAAACACTACCGTCTAATGTTATATAATGCAAGCATCAAGCCATTGTTTGAATACTGCTGTTCTGTTTGGAGCAGTTGTAGTCAGGGTAACATCGATGATCTTTTCAAATTGCAAAAACGTTGTGCAAGACTGATTTTGGATAGCCATTCAACATCAGTATCTTTTGAGAATTTCCAAAAATTAGAGTGGCTCGCAATCGACCAGGTGTTTGTATAAAAAACCTTTGTCTCTTGCAAAAAATTATCAATGGTCAAGCTAGCTCCAGAATCTCTAACAACGAAATTAGCAACTTTCCGATTCCAACATCTATATAGTTTGAGAACAAAAATTGAGTATCGTCTTCCGAAGCCTAAAACCAATGCACTAAAAAGAACATTTTTCTATTCAACATTAAAATATTGGAGTACATTGGGTGAAGAGAAGAGAAGAATAGTACATTTAAAGTAATGAAGTCGAAGTTGCACCATACCCTCTTTTCCAAATACACAGTTGACAATTTCAAAGTTCAAAGATAATATTAACTCACATATAAACTTATTATTTTATTAATAGTGTGTTTTATCATCTTTTTATTTTTATTTACCAGTACATTTTTTTACGATAACATATTTCTGTATTTATTTTGAGGGCCACTAGGGAGAATACGTTACTGTAATTGGTGTTACCCTCGTAAGTGTATTGTATTGTATTGTATTGTATTGTATTGTATTGTATTGTATTGTATTGTATTGTATTGTATTGTATTGTATTGTATTGTATTGTATTGTATTGTATTGTATTGTATTGTATTGTATTGTATTGTATTGTATTGTATTGTATTGTATTGTATTGTATTGTATTGTATTGTATTGTATTGTATTGTATTGTATTGTATTGTATTGTATTGTATTGTATTGTATTGTATTGTATTGTATTGTATTGTATTGTATTGTATTGTATTGTATTGTATTGTATTGTACTGTATTGTATTATGATCTTGTTGAATCATCTTATTTTATTATGTTCTTGTTAAGACATGTCGGGTTCCAAATCTTCTTGATAGTTCATAATAAATTTTAGCAGGCATGCGAGAACATTATAGATGCATAGAAGTTGTCAGGATAACAGGTGGTGCCAATATACATTTGCAGAGTTTTAAAAGCCTTTTCAGTTTCCATAATTGATACATAACATCAACATTTCTGCTTATAATTGATCTATTTCATTTTAGAAAATGTCATAGTCAGGGTTGATGGCACACAAATCAACTGTTTATGCCAAGGAAATATATCAAATAGGTCATATCAGTTGAAGGTCATTCATCAGCAACAAATAATGACAAGTATGGAAATTAGAAGTATAATCGATGCATATAGTTCTTGAATAGAATGATATAATTCAGCATACCAGATCCATGCAATAATATTTTGTTGTGGAAGAAAATCCAATAATATAAACAGAATAGTATGGCCGGTTAGTTTTGTACATTGTGTGCTATAAATAAGATCCCATTATGACATATGGTTGTTGTTGATTATAAGACAATATAGTATAGGATGTGCATGGGAAGGGGGATATAAAGCACCTGGTGTTCCAATTGGCAATGACATTCACTCATTCAGTTGCAGAAATCAGGGTGGATGAAGACGGGAGCACCCTCTCCAGGATATATAGTTATATACTGCAAGTTGATAATTATGACTGGTTGCAACTGTTACTATAAGTATAATTGATATTCCAATCTAAAGCTGAATATGTGCTCTTTATGCAGCCACTATTACTTTGGCTTTGCTTTAATGAAAGCAATTAATCAATGTTTCCAATATGTATTTCCAATGAGAAATGTTTCCAATATGTGTGACTTAGCTTCTGACTCTGCTAAATTTGTATAAAAATGATCTATCAAAGTCTGCTTGTCTGTAATGATTATGAAATCAGACACCAATTGTCTATAGTTATGATCGTTGATAAAGAAATTATATAAAGGCCTTCTATTGGTTTTATTCAACTAATTTATATTAATTAAAGTCACCAATGAAAATGTTAAATTGAGAAGTACATAAACATCAACCGCAACTCGATATACACCTGCAATGGTAACATGTGGAATACTTTCAGTTTCATAATAGTATTCACAATGCCATTTGCTATATTCAGACTAGTAAAATGACGTTGTTTTGACTGCCTTTGATGTATAATTTTAAATGTAAATTCACAAATTTCCCTTTGTTTCACCCATCAGGAAACCGCAATTCTGAAATTATTATCATTACGTCATTTCATCTATACGCTGTCGCTGATTGGCTAAGGGAACGCTTACAGACGTTCGGTACGCGCACGATAGCAATATATCTGCATTCGCAGATAAAAAACAACTTGAATTTTTTATTCGGTATTTTCTATAAGTTTTATTTATTCGGCTTCGCTTCCAAGCATCTTGCAATAATTGCATTAAAAAAGCTGGGACACTACAACAGCTTAACACCAATTACAGTGGGTCCTTTATAAAGTAACAGCAAGTTAATGGTCGGATGAGACTTCTACTTGTGTTACATTGAAAATGTTAAAAGTTTATGACTGTCACCTGGAAAGTCTCGGTCTGCAGTTACAAATAGCTGAGTAAAACGTTTCGTTTATTGTTTTTTTGGAGACTTGGATCTACTTTTTAAATTTGAGGTCATAATATTTGGCTTTTTCGAATCTACAGTTGAGTAGAATTTAAAAATATTTCTGCCACAAGGGTGCACACTTACACACACCAAGGTCATTTGATACATGCATGTGAAAGTTATTTTAGAATATTAATTATTTTGAGAAAATAACCAAGAATCTGGTGAAAAGGTCTTGGTAACAAGATAGAACAAGGTCCTGGAAATAGAATAATTACGTAATAATATATTTATTATAAATATTTATATTCAATATTTATATTAATATTTATAATACATAGCATTTGTAAATTCTGAACGCTGATTGGAGTGATTGGCTAAGAGCTGTGTTGACATAACTCGATGTCAACACGAGAAAATTTCTTTCTTGATATATCTTTGTGCTATACTATAAAAATATATATAACTAGAGGGCACTCAGAGACTGCATACCTCCGCCCGTTACTCGGAAGTGAAATGTAACCTTGGAATTTCCTAAGAAATCCACTTTATAATTCTTAAGCATAAAAGATTTCAGGCCCCCGCGAATTGAAATCGAATTGCTAATAGAACATATTACTGTTGTTGTACTGTACAGTACTTGTAAAATAAAAACTTATTAAGTGTCATTAAATAAATGCATAAATTTTGCTTTATGCACTCGCGCGTGCAGTAATTTTCACAGTTGTGCTATTTTAAATTCCCAGGCAGCTAAAATCTTTTGTCTTTAAAACAATGTCGATTTCTTGGGAAATTCCGAAGTTGCGTTCTTTTTATACACCCTGTATTGAAGTAATCTAATGTTGTTAGAATTTGAATGGACTGGCACTTTGCTGAACGTAATAATGCGTAACTCCGTAAGCCTTGTTTTAGACATTGAATTTCGGTCGCGTGAAATGCAACTAAGACAATAGATAATGAAGGCCGAAGCTTAATGAGGTTTATCATCTCATTACTGTCTTAGCACTGAGTGCATAAATTATACACGTCCTAATTACGCATTCAGTAATATATTTTGTTAATTGACCGGGAAAAGCAAGACAAAATTTTGTTCATTTCTCGTTCAATTTTTAACCAAATTCAACCAAATTTTAATCAGTTCTTCCTTAGCCGATGGGCAATGCATTCAAAAAATTTCGTACGGATATGTTTGGTATTTCTTGAGTTATCGTGTTCACAGACAAACACACACACACACACATACACACACACACACATACACACACACACACACACACATACACATGATTACATAACCTCCTGGCGGAGGTAATGATTACATAACCTCCTGGCGGAGGTAATCAACACTCGTGGAAATTGGAAAAACTTAAAATTGTGTGGAAACACTCCGCCCTCCGCGAGAAGTCGTGTTTCCACACAATTTCTTGTTTTCTTAATTTCCACTCGTGTTGATACAACCGGTACATGCATATCAACACGGAAAATGTTTTATATTTGTTAAATATTATTAATATACAAATATTACATTATTATAAAGGTATTAAAAATAATGATATCTTGATAATAAGATATTTTGTGTTGATATAACAAGATTCCAGGATTCCAAGATTCCAAAAACAATTAGGTTTCCAAGATACCAGATTCCAGGTTTACTGTGTATAAAGTAATTGGCTTGATTACAGCTAATCCGTCTTATATTTAACAAATATAAAACATTTTCCGTGTTGATATACAGTTATATCAACACGAGTGGAATTGGGAAAACGAGAAATTGTATGGAAACACGACGCCCGAAGGGCGGAGTGTTTTCATACAATTTCGAGTTTTCCCAACTTCCACGAGTGTTAATATAACTATATAACAATACGGAAAAAATGTTTTATATTTTTTTTATAATATAGCAATGTCAAAAGCCCGAAGGATAAGAAAAATTTCCGTGTTTACAAGCGGCAGAAAATTTCCCGTGTTGACATTGAGTTATATCAACACGGCTCTTAGCCAATCAGCGTTCAGAATTTACAAATGCTATATTATAATTCATTTCATTTAGCACCATGAAGCGTTTTACGCGCATCGCTGTCGTATCTTTCCTATTTTCATCCTTGGTTCTCATCGAAAGCGAAGCTGTAGACCAAACGGAGCAAGCAAAGGCTGAATCGTTTCTGAAAAATGTCAATAAAATCTTGGCGCAGAAAGACTACGAAGACAATGTGGCCTCCTGGGCGTTCGATACTAACATTACGGACTACAACTCTGCGGTGAAAGTCCAAGTCAGTCTCGCCTATAGCAAAGCTTACGCAGAAATCCAAAAGAATGCTTCCCGATTCGATTTGAGCAAATTGAAAGAAGACGCCGCGCAACAAATTAAGTTCCTGCGCAATTCGACGGAGCTGAAAAACCAAACTGAACTTAAAGAGGCCGAGAATCTTGGTTCCAAAATGAGCAAATTGTACAGCACGGCCACAGTAGGCACCGCTTCGTTCAGTCCGGAGTTAGTTGACATCATGGCGAAATCACGCGATTATAATAAACTCCTCAACGCTTGGTGGGGATGGCGCAATGAATCCGGGCGCAAAATTCGAGACCTCTACAGACGTTACGTGTATTTAACAAACAAAGGTGCGAGAGAGAACGGTTACACTGATCGCGGACAGGAATGGAGAGGAAAATACGAGGTTGATGATTTCGGCGCTATTGTGGAAAAATTGTGGAATGACTTGCGACCATTGTACCTAGAAATGCATGCGTATGTGCGACACAAATTAAGAAAAGTCTATCCTGGCAAAGTTGTCGAAGACGGTTACATTGAAGCCCACTTGTTAGGCAACATGTGGGCACAGAGTTGGGTTAATATATTTGATTTAGTGGAGCCTTACAAAAACAAATCTAGTCTGGATGTTACATCGAATATGAAGACAGATCCGCGGTATAATACTGCTGAGAAATTGACCAAATTGGCAGAGGAATTTTTCCTGTCTCTTGGATTAAAACGCCTTCCTGCTGCCTTCTACCAAAAGTCTTTGTTGCAGAAACCAAAAGATCGGGGGGTGGTATGTCATGCTTCAGCCTGGGATTTCAGGTTGTACAAAGATGTGAGGTAAAATAATCTTTTTTTTTGTTAAAAATCACAAGCTGAGGAATTCGTCGAGAAACTCTCGCCATAACAAAAACACGGTAAGCGACGGATTTCCGTCACAAGTTAATATTAACAGGCCTTCCCTCTAACTAGTCGACCAAACGACGGGAACGTTAGACGATTTAATTCCGCCTTAGTCTTAGATAAGGAACACGTCTTAAACGTATATCAGGCGAATTGGGCATATTTCAAACACGATAAGCCAGTCAGCTCCAGTTTCAGATTCGCAGCTCCAGTTTCAGATTGAATCTGCAGCCAGAGGCATGCATGGCGTTCGTATTCGAATGGCTCTAACTCCACAAAGCCTTCACCCATCCTAACAATAATATTTTTCATTCTTCCGTAAGAAAAAGGCTATCATAATGATATAGCGCAATCGCTGAGTCGCTACTGCTTCTAGATTGCTCTAAAAAGCTTGCATAAGTCAAGTCGCCAAACCGTGTCGGGTCAATTAAATCTTGAGCAAAGTACGGTTTGGTTTAGTTCCTATCTAAATCGCTGTATCGTCGTAAGGAATAAATGTAACGCTATTATAATTTTGTTCGTTCTTCACTGATAATTTTCATATCACCTAAGACATTCGGCTTGTCTGTAGCACTTTTAGTTTTTTTCTGGAGGGCTCGCATGCCATAAGTTATGGAACCGAACAGCAACATATTGATGGAGACAGCAAACGCCGCTTAGCGATTTAATTAAAACGCTCGTTCTCCGTCACAAGTTACCTTACCGTCATAATATTTTTTTCATTCTGTATCCATAATATTCGCATAATATGAGATTATTTTTACGCTTCTACCGATTTAAACTTTTACTGAACAGCTTGTACAAGATGAGTCGTCGAACCGCCACATATTGACACTTACAGCAGGTCAGTCGACAAGATAGCATACTAAAAACGCTCTATCTTAGCGAAAAATTCACATATCCTTTAAATATTGTTTTTCAATCTTCTCTGATAAATTACACGTTATTTAAAAAATCGGCTAGTCTGTTGCGCTTTTAGTTTCTCTGGATAGCTCGCATAAGTTAGGTTATGCTAATGTATGGACCAACGGGATTTCCCTTTGTTTACTACAGCTCGAACCATATAATTGATACACATGAATTTGTTTCATATTAATTAACAACCTCGTCCCCAGGGCCCTAGGGACGAGGTTGATTAATTAAATGCCGATTATTCGGCAATTAATTAATATGAAACAAATTTTATATATGTACAATTACATGGTTCGAGCTGTAGTAAACAAAGGGGAAATCCCGCTTACGGGGGGTTGGTCCATACATTGGCAAAACTAACTTATGCGAGCCCTTCAGAGAAAACTAAAAGCGCTACAGACTAGCCGATTTTTTTAAATAACGTGTAATTTATCAGAGAAGAATGAAAAACAATATTTAAAGGATATGTGAATTTTTCGCTGAGATCTCTGAATAATTTTAAGAAATATTTGAAGCATTAGACGGTGAAACGTGATACAAGTACTCATGAGAAAACCCTACACGGCGTTGGCAACACAAAGTTGACTAAACTGGGATTTCAACTCGCATATTCAACGAAATATGTCCCTGGTGATGGCTACGAAATAGAGACGGTGAAATATGCGTGACAATTCAAAATTTCATTTAAATCAGCGGTAGTTTGTGTGACGCCAATTTCGGTTTCATACAAGCATTGTCAGATTATTTGGCTGTAAATGACGCAGACGATCTGTATACTTTATACTCCAGGAATATGCAGCGGGGCTAGCGGGGTCAACCAAAAATAAGTGAAATTCTCGAAGGAACTCGGTGAATATGTGCCATTTTATTACCTTACTGTGGTACGAAACAAGGATGCCTTTCGTTGTAGATTTTGCCTTTTCCTTTACACTTAGATTAAGGAATTTGCGGTTTTCAAAATAGAGTTTATATTCATTTACAAGTATAGCGAACCAGAAAAGTGTTAGATATTCAGTTAGTATATCATATTTTACAAATATAGCAGTTCAAAACGTAAACAAAGTTCGCGCATGTGCACAGGAGTGGACATCATCTTTAACAATAATTTAATCTGCATATGACGCATGTTTCACTAGAAAGAACTTGATGACTCGAAAATTGTTCGAGTTAACGGGAAAGGTGTTGGATTTCGACTATTATGTTAATAATTAAGGTATAGTCGTTTTATTATTCACAATTGTGAGCCATTATGGTGCATTCTAAAGAACTTACAAGTAAATTTAGTTTATGCTACTAACTCATTTTTATTATTGGCACTACCTGCACTGGCACAGACCGCACCGAGGCACAGACCATTTTGAGATGGGGAAAAAATATGAAAGATGATTTTTATTTCAATACGTTCCGTGCAGCAATACGATTAGCATTTCTATAGCGCAAACTTACGTGTGGATTTACATGCTATCCTGCGCCGTAGACGCCATGTTAAATTGATAACGCACGCTGGAGATTACCATCCTTGCATTTCGAAAATGTGATAGTGAATATATGGAGAACATCAAAATGCCTGGATAAAAAATTAAGGGGGAGAGGTGTGGACAAAAATTTCTGACCTTGCTGCAATTGCCCGATCAGTGAAAAAATTTCCACGCTTTACTTCCAAAATTTTTGTCGCACATTTCTTGCTTTTCAATATATTTTCCCCATTTGTTTGCTCAGCTTATACGTTGAAAATTTGCCCAATTAATTAATTAACTTACGTTGAGAGATTTGCCCAACTTATCGACTTTTCAATAAGGTTTATCTTTGATTTGCTATTGAATCGTCGAGGGCTGAGTATTTTTTATCTTTCGCACTTTGACTGAACTGCTGAAGTCGATCAAAAACTTTGTACTCGATACGCCGCGACCTATGCATGAGCGGCGTCGCCACTAAACAGCCACTCCAAAACCACAGAACTGCATATGGTTATCTTGAGATTTATTACGTTTTGCCATATTTAACAAGGCGCCTGCTTAGCAACCTCATTCCCAGGGCTTTTTCCTTTTTGTCACTGGGAAGGCGGGAAAAGGCCCTGGCACCGGCCGATCACATGACTTTCAACAATCTCGTTCCCCGAGCCTGCGATCCTTGGGAAGGAACGAAGGCTCTGGGATAATCCGAATCAGACATACAGAAAACTGTATGTCGACCGAACTGCGCATGCGTTGGCAAAAGCAAAACAAATTGTTTGAAATATTTTATTGTTTCGTCTATAAAATGATGATTTTTTCGGTGTTTTGGTGGAAATGTTGATGTTCTTCACAGTAGGATACAAAAGGTGTGTCAGCGACTGAATAAGGAAAATATTGCGTGTGAAACAGGGTCAGTATAGAGTCGGCAGGAGCCGCGAAGAGTGCTGTTGTCGAAGAAAAATGTCACAATTAATTGTAATCTTGTCCATTCACCTCTGTGTCAGTTTGAAAAAGCTTTAAATGTAGAGACATTTGTGGTTCCTCCAGCATAATTTAGCCGTTTAACGCTATTATGTTTCTAATGGTTGAAAGAGCGCGTGGAAAGGGCAACTTAAGAACAAAAACAATTACAAATTTACAATGTACTGTGTGTTAATTGCTACTGTTAGTACTGTAGTATTAAAATACCTGAAAAGAGTCTCAATATTTCTAATATTAAGTCGGTTATAAACCTTGATAATATTTCAGGAGATTTGTATATCAGAGGAATATTAAAAGGAATTTAGACTTATAAAACATATCATTAAAAATATGAATATAGTGAATCCCATGTTTATATTGTGTTATCATCTCTAGAAATTAACATTTTATAAACCAAATCCTTGTTATATTTTTTAACTGCCCTTATAGCTTTCCTTATATATTTTAATATTTGCCAGCAGTTTAGTAGGTTAGGGATGCAACAGCACTTTCCAAATTGTTGAATTATAACCAAATTTTGTATCTGGATAGGAATTACTATTACATATTTACAGTTTGTAATGATAGAGTTGGAGCAAGTTAAGCTGCAATGTGCCTCAGTTTGCCCTACTTTGTTATTTTAAGCTGTTTAATGCCAGGGGCCGATTGTATAAAAAAGTGATTAAAGTTAACTATAGTTAGTGGAAACGTCATCCAATAAAAAGCGCGTATTTGAGAGTTAATCACTATTTAACTACAAAATAGTGATTAAAAAAGTGATTAAGAGTTTTATACAACGGCCCCTGGTTATTTCAGCAGCGAACGAAAAAGAGTTAACTACTTTTTAACTGCAGTTAGCGCTAACTACGTTTTTATACAACCGGCCCCAGAATTTTTTCTCGTCAAGGGGAAAGTATTGGACTTGGTATTTGAATGGGTTAACCAGTCCATCTGCATGTCTACCTATCTTTGATTACTTATCTCATTAGAACATTAAGCCACAATGCTCTTTAGTGCACCCTATTTTGTTATTTCACTGTACTTCTCGACAATATTTCTCATCAATGGAAATGTACTTGACTTCATGTTGATTACTGCCATTAATTAACTACTGTACTAAATAGGACTTTCAAGGTTGGAGATATAATAGCAATAGAGGTTGCTATCATTGTAGCATTCAGGGGCGTCGCTAGCCCAAATGGGTCGTTCCAGAAAAGATCCATACTCCGGCCCACGGAGGAAATTTCTGCCATCCGGAGGGGGAGGGGAGAAAAAATTGTTTCTGATGATAGTAAATGTATTAGGACATCCGAAGGGGGTAGGGGGGTTAACTTCCTATTTCCTCCGTGGGGGTGGTATGGATGTTTCTGGAATGACCCAATTGTCAGGCATTTGGCAATTTATTGTATCGCAATCGGGAAATTGTTTTCGTGGCCAGCATGATTTGAATTGGATAGGAATGGAAAAAAACTGAAATATACAAGTTTTTGTTGCCCCTCCCCTTCTCAGAGTAGGTATGTGTTGTTTTATAGTGTAAATAACAAGTTTTGATATTGCAATCAAACTGACAGAGTAGTTGTCATGACCATGGTAATAAAATTATTTCTATGGCTCG